CCACAGAGAACTGTGGGAGCAGAGTCCTTATGTATATCTAAGGCGGAGATGGATAGATTCTTGGTCTGTTGGGGAATCAAGGGTTATGGGGAAACGGCAAGAAAGGAGAGGTGAGAAGTGTCAGATCAGCCCAGGATCCTATTGAATAGTGAAGCAGACTCGAGGAGCTGAACCAGATGGTCCTCTTTCCAATTTTCATTCATTCTTGGAGATGTGGGTGTCACTGACGAGGCCAGCATTTATTGCTCTTCCCAATTGCACAGAAGGCAACTAAGAGTCAACTAAATTGCTGTGGATTTGGAGTCACATGTAGTCCAGACCAGGTAAGGATAGCAGTTTCCTTGCCTAAAGGACAATGGTGATATACCAGATTGGATTTTCCAACTATCGACAATGGATGCATGGTCAATTAGACTCTTAATTCCAGATTTTTATTGAATTCAAATTCTACCATCTGCCATCAGAGATAGTAGGAACTGCCGATGCTGGAGAATCTGAGATAACAAGATGTAGAGCTGGATGAACACAGCAGGCCAAGCAACATCAGAGGAGCAGGAAGGCTGATGTTTCGGGCCGAGACCCTTCTTCAGAAATGGGGGAGGGGAAGGGGGTTCTGAAATAAATAGGGAGAGAGGGGGAGGCGGATAGAAGATGGATAGAGGAGAAGATAGGTGGAGAGGAGACAGACAGGTCAAAGAGGCGGGGATGGAGCCAGTAAAGGTGAGTGTAGGTGGGGAGATAGGGAGGGGATAGGTCAGTCCAGGGAGGACGGACAGATCAAGGGGGCGGGATGAGGTTAGTAAGTAGGAGATGGGGGTGGGGCTTGAGGTGGGATGAGGGGATAGGTGGGAGGAAGGACAGGTTAGGGAGGCGCGGACAAGTTGGGCTGGTTTTGGGATGCAGTACGGGGAGGGGAGATTTTGAAGCTTGTGAAGTCCACATTGATACCATTGGGCTGCAGGGCTCCCAAGCGGAATATGAGGTGCTGTTCCTGCAAGCTTCGTGTGCCATCGTTGTGGCACTGCAGGAGGACCAGGATGGACATGTCATCTGAGGAATGGGAGGGGGAGTTGAAATGGTCCGCTATCGACTGGGAGGTGCAGTTGTTTATTGCGAACCGAGCGTAGGTGTTCCGCAAAGCGGTCCCCAAGCCTCCGCTTCGTTTCCCCGATGTACAGGAGGCCACAACGGGTACAGCAGATGCAGTATACCACATTAGCAGATGTGCAGGTGAACATCCGCTTGGTGTGGAAAATCTTCTTGGGGCCTGGGATCGGGGTGATGGGGGGAGGTGAAGGGGCAGGTGTAGCACCTCCTGCAGTTGCAGGGAAAAAAGTGCCTGGGGTGGTGGGGCTGGAGGGGAGTGTGGAGCGGACAAGGGAGTCATGGAGAGAGTGGTCCCTCCGGAAAGCAGATAAGGGTGGGGAGTGAAAAATGTCTTTGGTGGTGGGGTCAGATTGCAGATGGCGGAAGTGTCGGAGGATGATGCGTTGGATCCGGAGGTTGGTGGGGTGGTACATTAGGACAAGGGGGATTCTGTTTTGGTTGTTATTGCCGGGAGGGGGTGTGAGGGATGAGTTGCGGGAAATGCAGGAGACGCGGTCGAGGGCGTTCTCGACCACTGTGGAGGGGGAAGTTGCGGTCCTTGAAAAACGAGGACATCTGAGATGTTCGGGAGTGGAATGCCTCATACTGGGAGCAGATGTGGCGGAGGCAATGGAATTGGGAATAGGGGATGGCATTTTTGCAGGAAGGTGGGTGGGAGGAGGTGTATTCTAGGTAGCTGTGGGAGTCGGTGGGCTTGAAATGGATATCGATTTCCAGATGGTTACCAGAGATGGAAACAGAGAGGTTCAGGAAGGAGAGAGAGGTATCAGAGATGGTCCAGGTGAATTTAAGGTTGGGGTGGAAGGTGTTGATGAAGTGGATGAACTGTTCAAGCTCCTCGTGGGAGCACGAGGCGGTGCCGATACAGTCATCAATGTAATGGAGGAAGAGGTGGGGTTTAGTGCCAGTGTAGCTACGGAAGAGGGATTGTTCCACGTAACCTACAAAGAGGCAGGCATAGCTTGGGCCCATGCGGGTACCCATGGCCACCCACTTTGTCTGTGGGAAGTGGGAGGAATTGAAAGAGAAGTTGTTGAGGGTGAGGACGAGTTCGGCTAAGCGGATGAGGGTGTCAGTGGAGGGGGACTGGTTGGGCCTGCGGGACAGGAAGAAGCGGAGGGCCTTTAGGCCATCTGTATGGGGAATGCAGGTGTATAGGGACTGGACGTCCATGGTGAAGATGAGGTGTTGGGGATCGGGGAATTGGAAGTTCTGGAGGAGGTGGAGGATGTAGGTGGTGTCACGGACGTCGGTAGGGAGTTCCTGGACCAAGGGGGAGAAAATGGAGTCGAGATAGGTGGAGATAAGTTTGGTGGGGCAGGTGCCAAGTGGATGTTCACCGGCACATCTGCTAATGTGGTATACTGTATCCGCTGTTCCCGTTGTGGCCTCCTCTACATAGGGGAAACCAAGCGGAGGCTTGGGGACCGCTTTGCAGAACACCTACGCTCGGTTCGCACTAAACAACTGCACCTCCCAGTCGCGAACCATTTCAACTCCCCCTCCCAGTCCTCAGATGACATGTCCATCCTGGGCCTCCTGCAGTGCCACAACGATGCCACCCGAAGCTTGCAGGAACAGCACCTCATATTCCGCTTGGGAACCCTGCAGCCCAATGGTATCAATGTGGATTTCACAAGCTTCAAAATCTCCCCTCCCCGTACCGCATCCCAAAACCAGCCCAGCTTGTCCCCGCCTCCCTAACCTGTCCTTCCTCCCACGTATCCCCTCATCCCACCTCAAGCCCCACCCCTATCTCCTACTTACTAACCTCATCCCGCCCCCTTGATCTGTCTGTCCTCCCTGGACTGACCTATCCCCTCCCTAACTCCCCACCTACACTCACCTTTACTGGCTCCATCCCCGCCTCTTTGACCTGTCTGTCTCCTCTCCACCTATCTTCTCCTCTATCCATCTTCTATCCACCTCCCCCTATTTATTTCAGAACCCCCTTCTCCTCCCCCATTTCTGAAGAAGGGTCTCGGCCCGAAACGTCAGCTTTCCTGTTCCTCTGATGCTGCTTGGCCTGCTGTGTTCATCCAGCTCTACACCTTGTTATCTACCATCTGCCGTGACAGGATTTGAACCCAGGTCCTCAGAACATTACCCTGGGTCTCTGGATTAACAGCCTGGAGTTAATACCACTAGCCTACCTGCCCAAATGGTCACTACAGCAAGACACCTATCACATTGATGGACCCTCAACATATTTATTTCCATCCAGTAACTAAGTGTCACTATAACACCAAGATCAAACATTAGAGATTTTTCCATATGGGCTTTTGGGGCTTGGTGGGTAAATGTGATAGTTACTGGTTGCTCATGTGGAGGGTAGACACCAACCAGGTCTGTTTTGAGTCAAGGCTCCCAACTTATAACTTTTACATATTTCTACACTTGGACTGGAGAGTATGACCACTCAGTCAGGACACAGGGAATTCTTGGAGGTATCTGAAACAAAGGCAAAAGGTCAGTAATTGTACTCATTTGAGAACAGGAAGGAAAATAACCTGAATATCAGAAGCTAGGAATACTGCAGCAAGTAACTCACCTCCTGTCTCCCCAAAGGCTGTCCAGGCAGGAGCGTGATGGAATACTCCCCACTCGCCTGGATGAGTGCAGCCCCAACAACACTCAAGAAGCCTGACACCATCCAGGACAAAGTAGTCCACTTGACTGGCACCACATCTACCACCTTCAACTTTCACTCCCTTCATCACTGATGTACAGTGGCATCAATGTATGCCATCTACAAGATTCACTACAGTATCGCGCCAAGGCCCCTTTGTTGGATCTTCCAAACCCATGATTCTCTACTACCCTTAAGGACAAGGCATCTAGTTCCCCTCCAAGTGACTCACCATCCTGACTTGGAAATATATTGTTGATTCTTCAGTGATGCTGGGTCAAAATCCTGGAACTCACTCCTTAACAGCATTGTGGGTGTTCTCACACCATTTGGATTACAGTGGCTCAAGAAGACAGCTCACCACCATCAACTGCAAATTCGGAATGGGGAATAAGTCCCTAGCCAGGGACACCAACATCTCATGAATGAATAAAAAAGAATCTTGGGCAATAGCTGGAAGACAGCGAGCACGGACAATGGAGATGCAACTGCAAGTTGTGACAGGCAAAGTCAGGAATACCTGCTTGGAAAACATTCCAACCTGAAGCAAATGAACAATCTTTACATGTAATAAAATCCAATAGTTTCACTAGTTACAGGCTGGTAATAATCTAGGAGGGCTGCTCTTACCAATGTGACCAATTTTGGGATTAGAAAGCTTATCTGAGACCAAACTGGAGGCCAATTGGTGAGAATCCAGCTAGGAAGGATGACAGAAATGTATAGCACCGAAGGGAGATCTTCAGACCATTGTACCTGTGCTGGGCACTTTGAACGAGACATTTAGTTAATCCCAATCCCGTTCTGTCCTAACAGCCCTGTGAATTTTCTTTACCCATTTGAATGTTTATCCAATACTTGGTTTAAGGTTCCAATTGACTCTGCCCTTTCAAGTAATGCATCCTTGATCCATTCAAGCCTGACAGTTCGAGGGGCTTGTTCTAGTTCAGAAGCCAACTGCAGCTTTTCTGACTCCAGGTGAAAGAAATTCAAGCTGAATCCTGCTGGCAAAGGCTGAACAGAGGTGACCGCTGGGAGGAAGAAGGCTGGAGGGAACAGCCCAACCCCTTCCCTGAGCCTGTGTTTCCAGTTGGCCTCAGTAAAGAGGGCACCGGTAAAACAGAAACAGCAGGAAAAAGGAGAGGAGATACCTGGGATCCCACTGATAGCGGGGAGCAAAAGCATTCATAACCACATTTGAACACATTCTCCACTGGTCACAAGCTTGGCAGTGGGAGCCCAACGAGACAAGATAGTTACTTACAAATGAGACACAGGCTGCCAGCAAGAGGATCCGCACCAGTAGCTCTTCAAACTGCTCCAGCACAAGCTGCCACAGAGACTTCCCTGGAAAACATACAGGCATTGAAATTCATTAGTGGTGGATGGACTGACAGATTAGACATGTTTAATCAGTAAAAATGTGCTTTGTGTCAAATCAGGAAAACGAACAGGCAGCTTAAAAAAAAAAGCAGGGCGTATCATTCAAGGGTCCGAGTGTAGATAATAGCATCACATTTTTGCTCAGGAACACTGGACGGAAAAGGGATAATCTGCAAGATGTCTGGTCAGTGCATAGACACCTAATATTAGCTTGACAAAAATAACTGTATCACTTCAATGAGCCAGGGATCGCCCCTCTTAAATGAACCTCCAGTGGAGGGACTGCTGGACAGAGTTCAAATCATGAGGGGAACAAGTGGTGCCTCCCAGAGTTCAACAGCCAATGCCATTTACAGGCACGAGTCATACCGCAGGCATCATACCAGTTGGGTGAAATATTGCACGGTCAATGCCTTGGGAGAGGAGTGGGGTGGCTTGGGGGTGGTTACTTCCGTGTAGAAGGTCGTGAATCTGAAAAATAATAGTTTGGTTTGTGGAAAATAAGTCGGGAGCCTGTTAATCTGACAGCAGCTGAAGATTGCACGGTGTGGATGTGGCTGGAATTCCATCATGGTCAAATACTAACCAAATGGAACATCTGACAGACCATGTCATTTTTGCAAGACTTTCCTTAGTGTCTTTAAGGTTCTCCTCAATCGTGTGCCTGTCTGTCTGTGTGCCTGTGTCTGTTTGTGTGATAAATTAACTGTGGTGAGATTTCATGGACAAATTGTCCTGGCCCTTGCATTATTAACAAGCTCACCTCCAGGTTAAGGCTGGTGGCTAAACACATACAAGGAAGTATAAAGCACAAGTTGACAAATCAGTTTTTGCTCTCTTTTAAGTTTAAATTATTCAGTGCAGGATCTTTTTGAGCTAGTTGCCTTTATGACACTCAAGGGCATCCGTGTAATGATGTGCCCCCTCCCTCTCTATCTTGGCAGCACATGGCAGCTCCACAAAGCCCCACCCCAGGTACAACAGAAGGGGCTGAGCAGAGACCCACGGCATGTCGCGCTCCATCCAGAGTTGCCGTGGAAACGAGTGGCAGGGTCTGGAAGCACACAGCTACCTTCACACTGGCCTTGTTCCAAATAGCAGCCCTGACAGAGAATTAGGAGTAGTTGAGTCATTTCTCCCTTTTTAAATTCATGGAATTCCCAACAGTGTTTCTGGAACAATGTCATTACACAAACCGGGGTGGTACAAGGCAGCAGCTCACCATTGCCTTCTCAAAGGCAATTAGAAACAACCAATAAATGCTGGCATCGCCAACAACACCCACATTCCGAGGGAAACAAAAAAAAATCAAAAGTGTGTGTGTGTCTGTCTGTCTGTTCTGTGTGATTATGCTGTAGACCTCAATGCAATCATATTCAAAATAACCTGTTGGCACATGTCAGAACTTGGCTCCATCCACAGTTTGATCATCTGTGGGTTTTCAGTTCCCAAACAGCAGAAACTCAGCCCAGTTACAGCATGGTTAAAGACAGCTTATCAAACTAGCCAGGCTGTGCATGCACTGTGTGGCTCACTCAAGTACGCCTGTGCTACATGCAAAAACTACATCTGATTCCTGTACCTTCACCTATCACTGCCCCTAAACAAAACCATGACAGGAAACTAGCAGTCATTTTAGATTCTCCTGAGGCAGCCTTCCTACCATGGGGAGATTGTTTAACTCACAACTGCAATCAGAGACTTATTTGGTTAGTTCCACTTTTCCCCCAAAAGATGTGGAGAGATGGAATCCTCTAACGGCTCCACAATCGCAAACAGGCCGAACCAGCCATTCTACTTCAGTGCTGGTTTTAACTTGTTGGAGCAGAGGAGATTACTTTGTCAAGAGAATTCTGTTCTGTTGATATCATTCCTTCACTCAGCTACCACAATGATCTCCTTGTGTGTCACCAGGACAGCCTGCAGAAGACTGAAGTCTAATCTTCACCATAATCTGACCGGCTAGGACTCAGTCCAACGAGAACGAGTCATTAGCCCATCGGGGAAAGAGATTTTTTTAATTATTTTCTGCTCAGTGAGATATCCTCAGTGAGATAGATGATGGTCATCAAACAGAAGACAGGAAGGCAACGTGGACATTAAAAAAATCATCAGAATAGACGTTTCCAAGGTTTCTGAAGGAGTTAAGGGAGCAGCAAAGGAAGGGTCTTAACCTGGAAATCCAAATCACTGGTAGAGTGACTCGTAATGATGGAGGGAGTAAGAGGTCAGTGTCAAAACTGGGAAGCCATGCAGCAGAGTGTGCTGCCTTGGGGCAAACAACACTGCCAATATGATATGGTATGTTGACTATATGTTATCCCATGTAACATATACACCAAAGACTGAGTTATTATTGAGACAGATGTCTTGAAGTTTATTAAGAACACTAGCAATTTACACTGTTATAGTATCTTGTTCTGTGTTTTTTGCAGTTACAAATACATGACATGACTGTAACATACAAAGCTGATGGACTGACTACACAATACACTGTCTCCATTTCATGAGTACTGACGGTGAGGTGGGGCCTTTATACTGGAACATCATACATCGTGATACCATCTAACTGTGTCAATGATCCTCCACCTTTCTGGGATCTTGGCAACTTGATGTAAAATCATGGAGAAGCAAAGGGGAGGACTGAAGGTTTAGAGGACAATTCACAGGCGCAGACGATCTGCAGGACAATTGTGGGGGAGTACAGAGACAACAAGCAGAATAAATAAAGTCATAGAGAAATCTAAATTTTAAAGGAGTGAATCTACAGTTTGGGGAGAGGATGTGGGGTGTATTGACTCAAGGCTTGTTAGTGATGGCAGAGGTCACCTGATTAGGGGTTTGAATTGGATAGAGGATAGAAAAGAGGTGAATTGGTCAAAAGAGAACATCCTGACATTGGATCAGATTGTGGAATTTAGCTCAGGATTTTCATTTGGGTACAGACAGCCCATGAAACTGGAGATATTCATTGTCAATTCTCTCCCCTATTTATCATATTTATGTGAAACTCCACCGTTTGTTCAAAATAAGTTGTTCATATTTATCTTTTCCTTACAGCACAATAAAAAAACACCAACGCAGACTAACAAGCCATCGCAAACGCAAAGCAATTTTTTTAAAAAATCAGTTAATTCAGAAAGGGAAAGTCAATATTTACCTTCTTCTGCTGGCAATTCTGGTTCAGATGCATCATGGAAGAGAAAAAGAAAAAGAATAAATTAGTCAAATCAGTAAAACAGTTGTTGTCTGAGGACTAAGAGAGAGTTTACAATTGAGGGTCTCAACCTATTAGGAGCTTCCAAAACATTTATTTATCCAACATTCAGTGCCAAGAATTGAGAACAGTGCCCAAAAACACACAGGTGACTGCCATACTTGCTGCAAGTTAAACCAGTTGGTGGTCCAGTTATATTAAAATGCAAAAGTGGTGGGGGTACCTGAGGAGCCAATCAGTACCCGCTGGTCCTACTGAAAGGTTTTACTGTATGGAACAAAGTTGTTCATTTAAACACAATTCTCCACCACTTCACTGTTTAAAAATCTCAACTGGAGCACTGAAGTGCCATGGAGCTTCTGTATTCATCACTCCCCCCACACTAAATAGAATGCAACCTGACCCAAAACCAACTGAGCAGGGAGAGAGTTCAAATGAACAAGCTGGCATTTTCATCTCAATTCTCACAACTACAGGGTGTCTTGTGGAATGGAGTCACTGCTGTAATATTCAAAGTAATTTACTCACAGCAACATAATATGATAAAGACCAGGTAATCTGTTTTCATCATGTTGACTGGGGATAAATATCCACCAGGATACCCTTAACCTTAACAACCATTATAATAATTGTTCTTCAATATAGTGACACGGGATCTGTCCATCTGTAGAGAAAGCAGACGGGGTACTGACAGATCCTCCAACAGTGCTGCACTCCCTCTGTACTCCAGCAGGCTTGCTAGACAAGATAGGAAAACCCACAGCTTGTGTGTCTTGGAGGCAGTGTTTCATTGGTGAAACTTAGACAGCATTTTAAAATACTATTTTAAAAAAAGTGAATAAACAATACACCAGAACTGAAGCACTCGCATAAAGGAAGGTGTAAGCTTAGGATATTTTAATGCACAGAGCTGCAACAGGTTCAGGAGTTATACATACGGGCTATGCAGGGCAGAGTTAAGTATCAAACAGTTCTTCGCCCAGAAGATGGGCCATAGTTGAAGTAGGATGTTATTTTATGTAGAGAGTGTGTAGTCTGTCTGAGGAGCCTGAAAAACAGCTCAACTAAAGTTCAGATTGTATAAAATTGATATGAAATGCAAGGTATTGCAAACAGTGATAATGTAGCCTGTGGACTAGTCACCCAACACCCAGGTTAGCCAGCAGTTTCACTAACTAATTTTTGCCTAATGGGCTTTGGGCTTTCCATCCACTTAGTCTGCCTCCTGAAGAGATCCAAGCACAATGCTCCAGGCATCAGGAGTGTGGGAGAACAGGTCTCAGTGAATCTGATGGACATTTCCTGCTCACCTTTCAAAACCTGTGAATACATTTGTGCTTGTGCAGCTCAGCTAATTTGGACAGTTCTGCACATACACAAACTAATTTTGAAACAAAAGAATTAACCGGCGCAGACCTGTGAGAGTCTACTTGTTTAAGTGTGAAACGGGACAGGTCTTTTTCAGTTAACAGTGTGTTTGCTTCCATAGTACAGCTCTTCAAAGACCGATTGAGGAATCCATCCAAGATGAGAATAACAGTCATTGAAGATGGAGATTTGTTTCAATATTCATTCATTTAAATGCTTCCTAATTCGCTAAACATTCAAGGACAATGTAAACATGCTTCAAACTGATTTATGAAACTGGATAAACAAATGAAAGTTCAGACCAAACGATAGACAGGACTGTCTCTCGGGTCTGCTGGATTAAGACTTATATGGGCTCTGCTTTAGCATGAGGATTGTGTAGCACATGATATAGTTTATCTGTCACAATTTGACAAATGAATACTTGATCTATGTTGCAGGAAATGCAAAACATCTTCAAAATACATCCAAAGCTAATATCTGCCCTCAACAATCTCTGACCCCATAGGGCCACCCCTCAGGAGCATTTCTTCCAAATGAGCTTTTGCACACGCTCTGAATTGGCAAAAGGGGCTGTTTGGTTTGATTAATCCTCTATATCTGAGTTACGACCAGGTGAAACACGCCCTTGCCATCCTGGAAATGCTCACCTCAAATGTTTGGACCAAATCCTCCTCACGTGGTCCTAATTTATCTGTGTTAATGTTTGCCGTCTCTATAAATTAATTAATTAGAAGATTGAAAACACAAAGCTTCTGAAGTGATTCCTAAATATGTTCCATTCACAGGACATCTACACACACCATCTAGGTACAACCATCTTCAGCTACTTCAATGGCCTGCCCTCTATAAGGTCAGAAATAGAATGTTTGCTGATGATTGTACCATATTTAACACCATTCACAACTTCTCACATGCTGACACAGTCCACGTCTGCAAGCAAGACCAACACAGCATTCACGCTGGAGCTGATAAGCAGCAAGTTAACAGCCATACCACAAACAGTGCGTCAGGCAATGACCATCACCAGCAAGGGAGAATCTAACATTCTCCCCATGACATTCAATGGCATTACCATCACTGACTCCTGTCAAAATGTCATGGCTGGGTACTGGACAATGAACAGATGAGGACTTAAACCAGACAAGTGCAAACAGATGAACATTTATCAAGTAAAAACCAAAAGAAGTGCAAATGCTGTAAATCAAGAACAAAAACAGAAGCTGCTGGAAACGCTCAGCAGGTCTGGCAGCATCTGGTTCTGAAGGTTCTGAGGAAGGGTCCCCGGAACTGAAACGCTAACTCTGATTTTTCTTCAGAGATGCTGCCAGACCTGCTGAGTTTTTCCAGCAATTTCAGTTTCTGAATATTTATCATGTACAGTTTGGCAGGTCTCCATTACAACCTTCTCTCCTCAATTCAGCACGTTTCCACAAGGTATGGCATTACCCACAACACTGATGAAAGTCCAGCCTCTAATATAACGGCTATTAACCCCTTTGGCTATAAATCCCCATCATCAACTTTGCTGATGACAAAAAAAGAGACTTAGCTGCACCAGCCAAATAAACATTGAGGCTACAAGAGAAAAAATAGTGCTGGGAATTCTGCAGCAAGTAACTCACCTCCTGAACTCCCAAAGTCTTTCCACCATCTACAAGGCATAAATAAGCACTAGCATAGACTTCCTTGTGTAAGTGTTGCTCTTACAGTACTCAAGAATTGCAACACCATTCAGGAGAAAATCGCCTGCTTGATTGGAACGCCATTCGCTCCCTCCACCACCAGCAACAAGCTGTACCATGTACAACTCACCAAGACTCCTTAGACAGCACCTTCCAAACCTCTATGATCTAGGACAAGAGCAGCAGATAGATGGAAACACCACCTGCAAGCTCCCCTCCAAGCCTCATACCATCCTGACATGGAAAAATATCACCTTTCCTGCAGCATTGCTGGGTCAAAATCATGGAACTGCAGTGGTTCAAGAAGATTGCTCATCACTACCTTCTCCAGGGTGATTTAGGATAGACAATTAATGTTGGTTCAGACCATGATGCCTACATCCCATTGACAAAGTGGAAAAAAAAGTATATTTCACCTTAGCACCACTGAATTATCCTGCAAGACCATCAGAACAAAATACAAATCATTACCTATTAGCAACTCTGGGCAGCTGAGCAAAGACACAAGGGGATAAAAGCCCTGGATCCCAGGACAAAAGAGAAACATATTTAATAAGAGAGTGGTGAGACTATGGCATCTGCTGGCACAGGGAGTGCACAGAGTAGACTTGCATTTAAAGGAGAGCTAAGAGAGCATGAAGGGCAAGTGAACAAGAAACTGCAAGCTGTTGCTGAGCTGAACTAAGCTGCGTGAAGGAAAAACACCAGTCAATCCCAGTAGCTTGTACAGCCCATTTCCATGTTAAAAACACTCAATAATTCCATGAGTTGTGGTCAGAGGTTTGTACGAAAGAAATAAATGAGCCTGCTATAGCAAGGCAAATACGATAGCAAGCATTAGATGTTCAACATGAGCACAGAGACCAAACATCTGACAAGTACATGGCTGGCTCCCAGCACTTCCCTCTGGGTTAATAGGCTGATACAATTGAATGTTATTAGACACAGATATATGTGGTTCCTTATATACCAATTAAAAATCTAGTGAGCAAAATTAACAGTTCAAATTAACTCAAATGGAGGCAAGTTTTTTTTTTATTGAAGATGGACACAGTTATTTAGTTTCAGTGATGGAGTGGTCTAAGAAAATGCCCAACACCAGATCAGCAGTCTGCTGACAGGAACTCACTCCATTGTTATCATGAGCCATCCCCTGTTGCATCATGCATTTTGGTGGTGGTGGTGTCTGCCTGCATGTATGGTTGCACAAACTCAACTCGTCTGATAAATGCCAACCTCAGCCACCGTTCCTTCAACTGAATTTGTTGCACAGAGTGTTAATCTACTTTGTTCAATTGATTGAAGGAACGTCTGTTGCCGATTCTTTGCAAAAAATGGTGTGGATACACAAACAGCTGTCTTCTGGTACACCCATCACTTCCTTCACCTCACCATTGACGGCCACTACTGGAATTCCCACTCCATCAGTCTTTTAAGAAGCTCCCCTCCTGACCAAGCTTTTGATCATTGACACAGATGTGTTAACTAATGTCTCACTGCCATTTTTGAAATGATGACTCCATGAAATGCCTTGGAAAAGGCTATCCAACTTTAGGGGGCATCACAATGTATCATAACCCAACCCTCATCAACAATCCAGATAAGTGATTCTCACCTGCAGGTCACTTCAAAGCAATTAGCAGTTGGGAGTATTTTCCCATTTCTCCCAGGAATACTGTGTCCAAATGCAGCAGCCATCAGACCAATAAATGCATAGTGGCTATTCAAACTGGAACATTCAGGTTTGTATACAGCAGCATCAGAGTGCAATGCCCACGGCAACTTTAAACACTCCAAACAAGCTTTCACATAGACAAACACTGAAAACTCAACATCAGTCCAAGAAGGGACACTGTACTACTGACGATGGGGAGTCAACCAATGGTTCGGGATTAACCGTGTTGGTTTTGTCCTGCTTCTTGTGTACAATTACAACAGTGTTGTAACTGTCCTGGAACAGCTTAGCCAGGGGAGCAGCAAGTTCTGGACCACAAGTCTTCAGTACTATTACCAGAATGTCAGAGGCGGCATGGTGGTTCAGTGATTAGCACTTCTGCCTCATAGCGCCAGGAACCCGGGTTCGATTCCAGCCTCAGGCAACTATCTGTATGGAGTTTGCACATTCCCCCCGTGTCTGTGTGGGCTTCCTTTGGGTGTTCTGGTTTCCTGCCACAGTCCATAAAATGTGCAGGTTAGGTGAATTGGCCATGGTAAATTACTTATAGCATCAAGGATGTGTAGGTTAGCCATGGGACATGCTGAGTTACAGGGATAGGGTCAGCCTACTTCCACACTGTAGGGATTCTATGAATGTTGTCAGATCCCATACTCTTTGTAATATCCACTGCCTCCAACTATTTTTTTTGAAATAACACATGGAGTGAATCGAATTGGCTAAAGTCTGGTATCTGTAATGCTTGGGACCATTGCAGAAGGCTGAAATGGATCATCCACTTGGCACTTCTGGCTGAAGATTGCTGCGAAAGCTTCAGCCTTATCTTTTGCACTGATGTGCCAGGCTCTTCCATCATTGAGGATGGGGATATTTGTGGAGCCTCCTCCTCCAGTGAGCTGTTTAATTGTCCACCACCATTCATGATGGATGTGGCAGGACTGCAGAGCTTAGATCTGATCCATTGGCTATGGGATCACTTAGCTCCGTCTATCATTTGTAGCTTATGCTGTTTGGCACACAAGTAGTCCTATTTGGTGGCTTCACCAGGTTCAGCATCTTCAGATATGCCTGGTGCTGCTCCTGGCACCCTCTCCTGCACTCTTCATTTAACCAGGGTTGATCCCCTGGCTTGATGGTAATGGTTGAGTGGGGGATATGCTGGACCATTAGGTTGCAGATTGTGTTGGCATACAATCCTGTGTTGCTGATGGCCCACAGTGCCTCATGGATCCCAGTCTTGAGTTGCTAGATCTGTTCAAAATCTTTTTTGATTAGATTTGATTTATTGTAGCCACATGTACCTAGGTACAGTAAAAAGCTTTGTGTGCAAGCAGTGCAGGCAGATCATAGCAAGCAAGGTCATACAGATCATAGGGTGCTTAGACAGAGTGAAGTATACAGGTTACACTGCACAGGAGGGGAACAAAGCAAGATCAACGTTAACAAGATTAACATTATTTGAAGTTAGAGAGTTCATTCATCAGTCTAACAACAGCAGGGAAGAAGCTGTTCTTGAACCTGATGGTGCGTGTGTTCAAGCTTCTGTATCATCTGCCTGATGGAAGAGGTTGTAGGAGAGCATTACTAGTGGGGGAGGGGTCTTTGATGATGCTGGCAGCCTTTCCGCAGCAGTGAGCTATGTAATTGGATTCCATAGATGGAAGAAAAAACAAAAACAAAAAAAGTTACTGGAAAAGCTCAGCAGGTCCGACAGCGTCTGTGGAGGGGAAAACAGAATTACCGTTTTGGGTCTGGTGACCCTTCCTCAGTTCTGAGGCAAACGGGGACCCCCGCGCTCGCCCACGCGCAGGCGCACCCCACGCTCGCCCACGCGCAGACGGGGACGCCCCCCCGCGCGCGCACCCCACGCTCGCCCACGCGCAGACGGGGACGCCCCCGCGCGCGCGCACCCCACGCTCGCCCACGCGCAGACGGGGACGCCCCCGCGCGCGCGCACGCGCACGCGCACACACACCCTGAACAGAGAGAGAGGTGGCCATTAGGCGTAGGTGTTCAAACTGTGGTCCAAAGCATCTGTATGGAGGAATGGCCAGAGTGGTGAGTTGTGTTGGCCTCTTGCTCCCTTTAAACATCAGGGCATTCTAAGCTGCTACAGGACCAATAGCTTTCTTTTTAAGTACCAGCATTGAGGCAACTGAGCAACGGTCTGTACATAGCAAGCTCCCACAAATGTCAATACAGTGGCAACCAGATCTTTTGTTTTAATGTGGTGCAGAATATGATGGTGTAGCTAAGGGAATCAAATGCAAAGAGTCACCTAATGTTCTGACATGGCTTCTTGTCCTCACACGCTCTGGTTGGAACAAAAAGGTAACGTGGTATTTTAAAGAAATATTGATTCTTTATTGTCTGTAATGTCTTAATGTTACAACAGACACTACTTTCATTTATTTTCTCAACAACTTGGCTCGCACTCTTAATCTCTTCTGGTGAACTAGTCTTGGGAGACCTTTAAAAAAACCTGGTCATAAGTGGTTAATTCTTGAACGTATGAAATGGAATCCTTTACTGATGTAGGAATTACAATAGTGAAACCGGTCATTCAAAACTATCACAGACTCCACTACAAACATTACCCTAATCTAAAAAACTAGCTTCTTCCCATACCTTTTGCTCCCCATCGTCACTCCATCTATTTTTAAAAAGGTAGCCTGATTCAACTGCTCGCTCTCCTAAGTGTGTTCCAGAACCTCTCAGTGTTAAATCAGACTTTCTCTTGCACTCAGTCCCAGGTTTCCAACGTGAAATCCTCATCCACATCTCCTCAATCTCCGAATACAGTCCATTGACATCTGCTTCATCCCATTCCTCCGTGTGCTTTAAATAGATTGCAAGTCACCCAAACATCTTTGATGAAATGAAATTAAAACAGTCCTGGATTTCTTGGGACAGCCAATTTTGCATTTTCCCAGCATCTTTTGGCATCAGCACGAAAGTGAAGTCTTGAGGAAGGATTTGACCATGATCTCATCCTGGCTAGTTTCAGAGCTGTATAACAACTCCAGTGTAAACCTCCTCTTCTCATGCTGGCCGATGCCAATTGGAAATCTGCAAAGTTGACTTTTCACTGGAACAGGCTAGTTTTGCACCCAGATGTATATGCTGTCTACCAAACATGTCCTCCCTCCCCCTCCCGGCTGCAAAGTTTGTAAAGAATTGGGACAAAAAGTACAAAATGTACAACCAATTTTCTCAGAATTCACAGGCAGCTTTGGAAAACATGTAAATATCTTGCACAGTTACAGCCTAATATGGCTGTGGTGAAGCGAGATGGGTGTGGAGAACAGTGGAGTCTATCAGCATTGAAGGGCTGAAGATAGCAGCAAAGTTCCACCCTAATTTTCCAACAACCATTTTTTTTTTGGCTACTTTGCACTTTATGCAACACACTCATTTGTTATGACTTTCAATAAAAAAACACAAATGATTTGTCACTCCTACCAAGATAATATCCATTTTTTTTTTTAAACAAGCCTTTCTGGTTAATGTCATTGTTCATGGCTCCTTTACTCACGAACAAATCAAGTCAAGCATTTGAACATATGAACACACTACCAGGTCAGACAGAGGCAAATGGTCCACTGTGAGGCATCAACCAGTACAGGAGCATTCCCACAGGAGCTCCAACTCACCATTTGCTCCATCAAAAATGGCACGCCCTGGCAGAAACATGGTGGTGCACACTCAAACTCCAAGCTCATTGCAGACTGGTGTAAAACACTCAGGCATGACCAAGTACAAGAACTGAAGACCTGGCAGACTGACAAGAATCCCCAGGTGCTACTTAAAAACAACTAATTCACCACATTGTCTCTCCTTTGAACTCTCCGTCCAACAACCAGGAAGTTGCTTGTGTGTTTAATCTATCCTGAGGATTCATGGCCCTCAATCCTTCGGCAGACCCTAGACCAGCCCCACCCCACTTCCACGTCTCCCTTGGCAGACTCTGATGCCTCCCACCCCCCTCCATATCTAGGCTGGATCTCCGTCTTCCTTAAGAAACTGCACATTGTCTCATCACCATTGTTAGCTTCCCCCTCCAGCCCCGCCATTTCAAAGACCCCACTGGACTTTTATTTTAACTGACACCTCAATTCTGAACTATTCTTTTAAACCAGTGGTTTCTGGGTTTAACAGTCTCAGTACCCAGAGGGTGTGATGCAGCATCATCCATCTACCATTGGAACATTGTGGCTTTGAGGCCTGTTGTTGTGCAAGGAGCCTGGCTGTTTGTAACCAGATTTGATTGTTAATGATTCCAAAGGGGTAACAAAGGTCATCGCCCCATACACACAGCCTGACACCAAACATTGATGTCACCAAGTTGATTGGTGCACTCATGAAAGCACTTTGTCACAAAAATGTCTGGCTACCCATTAAGAAATTCCTGTTGAGCGCTCTCCCATCCCCAAATTAGGTTACGTATAAAAATTAAAATTCAAAATCATTTTCAGGTCCTCCTCTCTGCCAATAGCTCTTGCTGATTTAGTACAAGCATTTGGTTATTTCATTAAGCAGGTTCTACAGTGTAATTGTATCTTCTGATGCTCAATTAACAGGCTGAGTCCTATTAGTTATGGTTAAAGCACCTCCCGGGAGATGTTTAGTGCAGTGACCAGAGACTGCTGCTCAACAACAAGACCTCAATCTCATCGAAAACTCCAAGGTGCTTTCTAAAAGAACACTGACCACTTTACAATATGTGAAAATAAAGCAAGGCCAAAACTTTGCCAAATCAGATGGGATAGGCTTTTCCAAGAAAGGTTTTAAAAAAATGTAGAAACAATGTCCCCTCTCCCCAATATTAAAGATGTCCCCATTCTCAAAGCTCCACCCATTAATTCAAAGTGGGAATGTGAATTCTAACAGTCCTTCCCCCACCACAACACCTCAAACTCCTGGTTGGAAGTGTGTGACAAATGGACATGAGTAAAATCTAAAATTTTTACTTTTTTTAATTCATTCACGGGATGAGGGCATCGCTGGCTAGGCAGCATTTGTTGCCCATCCCTAATTGCCCAGAGGGCAGTTCAGAGTCAGAGTCAATCACATTGCTGTGGGTCTGGAGTCACATGTAGACCAGGCCAGGTAAGGATGGCAGTTTCCTTCCCTAAAGGACATTAGTGAACCAGATGGGTTTGAAATGATGGAACAGGGTGATGAGAAGGGACTAGGGGACAAACAGAGAGAGAGAGCGCGGAAAGAGTTAGAGCAAGAGAGAAGAAATAAAGTCTGTGAAAGAATATTTAGAATTTGCAGGATTAAGGAAAACCACTAATTTTATATACCTTTCTACCACTTCATTTTTGCCACGAGGCTGCGAGAGTATCACTGCACCTCATTAGTAAATCGCAGTCAAATTTTGCCCGTAAGTTACACGTACCCATGTCTCAGACATAAACATTTTTTTTTTTTAAAAAGAAAGCAGAGACACCCTCTGTAGTGGTTTCAATAGTTTACCCAAACACGAGGTTGAACTTAAAAACAGTTGAGAAGAGACAGAATGACAGATATGTAGACAAATTACTGAACTGTAAAAGTGAGGGTAATAATAGGAGGAGATTTCAACTTTCCCAATATTAATTGTGATAGATAAAGTGCAAATGGCTTAGAGGATCCAATGCATCCAAGGTGACATGCAGGAAGTTGTACAAGAGAGGGGTCTGTGCTAAACCTAATTTAAGGAACAAAACTGGGCAGGTGGCAGAAACGTCAGTGGGATAACATTTCAGTGGCAGTGACCATAACTCAGCAAGGCTTAAGGTAATCATGGAAATGGACTAAAATGCAGCAGTAAAGATTCTGAATTGGATGAAGTTCAATTTTAATAAGACAAGACAGAATCTGGCCAAAGTGGATGGGAGCAGCTACTTGTAAGAAATGCAACATCAGAACAGCAGGAATCATTCAAAAAGGAATGAAAGAAAATGAAGGGCCAACAGATTTCTGTAAAGGCGAAAGGGTGGGACCACCAAGTTCAGAGAACCCTGGATATCAAGGGACAATCAGGATTTGATAAGAGAAAAATAGGGAAACTTATTAGGTCCTGAGAGCTCAAAACAGATCATAAATACTGTGGCTACAAGAGCAGGACAGGAACTCAGATTCTCCTTTCCTCTTTATCCTTTCATGGAATGTGGGAGGCACAGGCAAGGCCAGCATTGATAACCCAGCCCCTGGACTGAATAGCTTGTTGTTTTAATATCAGAGGGCAGTTAAAACTCACTCAATCACATTGCTCTGGTTTTGGAGTCACATATAGACCAGATTGGGTGGACTGCAGTGGTTCCAGAAGGTTCACCATCTTCTGAAAGGCAACTGGGGATGGGCAATAAAATGCTGGGCTAGCCAGAGATGTCCAAGACAAAGTATAAAATAATTTACCTGACCCACTGTTCAGGTTTTTGAGGCGGTTTCTCTTTCCAGAGTACTATGAGATTGACTGAGGTACTATGAATAACAGGTCGAGCAATTATTTCATATTGCTACTATGCAGCGATTATCCAAATGATATTCTTCACTAACAGGACATTGTTGCCCATACTAAAGTATTCTCCCTTCCACACAATCATCTTGTATGCATTGCTGAGCAGGTTTGAAGCCATGTATTTAAATATTTATTCAATGCTGTATATCACAGTGATTGGCTGATGGAATCAAACAGCATGTTCATCAGTTGTCCATAATTACTCAATTACAGACTCAAACAGATTGCAATTAGAAAACCCAAAATAAAATGTCTTTTGGATATGATTCTGTGATTGTGCAGCACTTGAACAATTCCGAGTGCACCCACAGCTACACCAATCAATTTACAATAATCAGTTGAGCTTGTAACATGGCCCATTTGACAATTGTCAGAAGCAGTACACTTTCTCTATGAAGATAGGAAAATGTCCGAGCCATGCCTTACTCGAGTTACCTGGGAGTGCAAGATGCATGTAGCAATATCTTGGCTGGGGTCGACTTGCTAACCGATTAATCCTCCATTCTCTTACTGTGACCATTTGAAAGCTAACATGCTTTGTCTTGCACTCATCAGGATGTGTTGACAACATGACTCTTCTTCAGCATTCCCTTCACATTTACTTCCTGTAACACTTACCCCAGCACACCGCTGAGATTCACATTATATACTAAACAACATATGCTCTGACTAACTGAGTGGCACCATGGATCTGCTACTCAATTTGAAATACGTTAAGCCACTTTAGAATGCAGAAATGTGACGTAAAATACATTAATCAGTAATCCACAAATAGCACTATTTTGACTGTAGTTTGAATTTACAGAGCAGTTTTAATATAGAAGCATGTCAAGGAAGTATAAAAGCAGACTTTAGACGAGGAATCAAATAACTTTGTTAATAAGTTAGAGTTTGAGAAAGCTCAAATGGTGAGGGGAGAGTTGAATGCACAGCAAGTTTCAAAGAACGTGTTGCACCAGGGTGTAACAAGGGACTGGGAACCTGAGAATACCAGGAGAGGCTCCTACACCACCATTGGTGCTCCATGGCTACAACATGCACTGTCCACACCAGGTGCTGCTGCAATTCACCAAGGTCTCAAACAGAATCTCCCAAACCCAGGACATCTACCAGCTTGAAGGACAAGGATGCATGCGGGCACCACTACTGCAGGCGCTCCTCCGAGCTACACATCATCCTGACTAGGAACAATACCAGCATTCCTTCAGTGTTGTTGGGTCAAAATCCTGGAACTCCCTCCCCTCAGGATGTATCAACACCCCAAAGACTGCAGTGATTGAAGGAGACTGCTTAAGCCTAAGCCTAACCCCAGAAGAACAGAGCTAATCCTAACTCATCTCCTCAATGCCAATTAGAAATGTGCAATAAGTGTTGGTCCAACCAACAATACTCAAACCCCATTACTAATATAAAATGAACATAAGCTTTGGTCCCAAGGGGTTATACGTGGATCATAAATTGAATAACTTAGTTATTTCTAATCCATTATCAAAAGCACTGCACTACCACATCATTCAGTGACAGAGTGGCATTAGCAGTTTGGTTGGGTGATGAGCTATATTTGAAGTGGAGAGAAGCAGAGATTAAAGCAGGAATTTTGTCACAGTA